ACTGGCTTAATTTGATAATTATTTTACAAGTAAAATTCCTCTAACCACGTTGTTTAAGACGTTAGGTTTGGGGCAAATTGGAGAAGCCGTTGCTGGTGCCTCTGTTTTAATTGTTGGCTTCATCTCATTGGGATACAAAGTCAAGGAGTTAATTCGAAGTGCCCTTATCCCAGTAATATATAGTTGAGTAATTTTACTTAAATTTGAATTATGGAAGAATGTAAAAAATTTATAATTGACACTGATCTATAAAAAAATTAAATTTTAATAAAATAATTTGAATATAAATACCTGTATTACATCTTTTGGCAATGCTAAAAATTCCAAAATGAATGCTTCTCCAGCTTTAAATGGAAAACTGCCTGAAATATCCTCACGACCCCATCCTATGTTCTTGTTCCATGTGTTACGAACAACCTCAAATAAATGATTTTACGTGTATTCAGTAGAGATAATTTTGGAAGGCCAATGGGCTAGATTTCTTCCTTCTTAAGCGTTCTCAAAAAATTTTAGAAGGTCAGGACAAAATTTTTCTAAAATAATGACTGTCATTAGGGGGTGTATTTTTTGCGAAATCTGGCGGACGAAAATTCCTCCCTGCTAAACCGATCCCTAAAATCCATCCCAGTTAAACCACTTTTTTTAACCCACTTTTAAGAGAGAGCAAAAGCATCAAGCAACAATCTGCCCTTTCTATTATTTAGGTATGAATATAGAATTATTACCAGCTTGGATTCGAAGCGTGGATTGTAGTGGAGTTGAATGTTAGCATCCAGCATAAACAACCCATCCTCAATAAAATTAATTGAAAATTCGTCTGGCTGATCAAGAATTGTCCCATTAAACACCATTCGATCTAGCTGATAAAATCCTTTTCCAAACCCGACTTTTACAAGATCTATATTTGCAGTGATTAGCAAATTTTTAAAAACAATTGGATCGAGATCCGAGATTGCCATATAGACCTCATAGATTTTTAATAAGAGAAGGGATATCACCTAAAATCATTTTACCTTGATTAAGATTAAAATCAAGTAATACCTTCGTTAATAAAGCTGCCATTATAATTTAATTTTATTATTTTGTCAAAATAATTTATTAAAAGCATTATTTATATGGGTAATTTTTTAATAAAAAGTTTGTTTACGTCTTTAAGGCAGATGTTTTTTAATTTAAAAATTTTAATGGATACATAAATAAACAAGCCTTGATTTGTCACTCTTCAAACATTTAAACGATGTTAAAACTTTTTATTTTAACATAAGTTAAATGCTTATCAAAAAAAATTTTTTGTTTAAATGGACAAGGAAACATTTTTTGTTGATTTTATACCAGGAAGGTATCTATGTCCAAAGAACATTTTTTCCTAGACACGTTTTATTGTCACTATTTCCAACTTCCTACATATTTATATTTCTTAATTTTAACCTCTCAAAATTTTTCTATTTTTTGAAAAATAAATACCTATTCTTATTTGACAAACAAATTTGGTTTAATATAATAGGGACCATTTTTTAGAAAGAATGGTACGGCATGTACGTGTGTACAATGGGTGGGACGGTTACCCTAAATACGATACCCATTTTCGACCCGAAAGTCGAAACCCGACCCATTCGAATGTTAATGTTAGCGTTATTCTATTCGCTCCATCTATTCGGCATTAGCCATAATTCTATTGTTCGTTACTATCGTACGTATGAGATATACGATAGATTTTCTGAGCCAGTAGGAGAAAAAAATGACATTTTATTTTAAAAACTACAAGAAAATACAAAAAAAATTAAAAATACTCCTCATCAGTGATGTCAAAGTTCCAAAATTTCTCTGGAACTAGTTCCAGTTCCGGAACTAGGTTTTTAATTTTAGTAGTTCCAGTTCCAGTTCCGGAACCAGGTTTTTAATTTTTGTAGTTCCAGTTCCAGTTCCGGAACTCCAATTTTAAAACTCCTTAGTTCCAGTTCCAGTTCTGGAACTAGTTCCAAGCTAGTTCTAGTTCCAAATTTTTAAATTTTTTTGAACATGAAAAGATTGATCATTTTTAACAAATAAAGGCATAGGTAATTTAGAAAATCATTTAGTTTTCGGCAAAATCGCATTCACGGGATCCCGTAACGGGATTTTTTTCAAAATATTTTACGGGACAGGATCCCGCGAGATTAATCCTCTAAATCCCGTAATCCTGATAATCCCGTTCTAAAATTTTGCGGGATTTCGGGATTTTCACATAATAGATATCGGGGAGATATGAGGATTTGAAGGGATTAAGGGATTTAAAAGGATATCTGGGGATATTTGTGTTAATATATAGGTTATAAGAGGATTTTGAGTGATATCGAAAAATTTAAGGAGATTAGAGGATAAACTGGAGGATTAAGAGGCCAAAAAAATTCACTTGTTCAGCGCCGCAGGCGAAAATTTTGATAATTTCTAAGATCGTAGGCCGAAAAAATTCACTTGTTCAGCGCCGCAGGCGAAAATTTTTAGAATTCTGGAGCTCAAGCAGCCAGATTTCTTCCATACTCAGCGCGCTGTAGGTAATTTTCGAGGAAATTTTGTCAAAAATATACCCCCGAGAACTAGTTCCAGAACTAGTTCCAAAGCTAGTTCCAGACATCTACTAGTTCCGTAGTTCCAGTTCCAAGCTAGTTCCAGACATTTACTAGTTCCGTAGTTCTAGTTCCAAACTAGTTCCAGATAATCGTTAGTTCCGTAGTTCTAGTTCCGGAACTGGAACTAGAACTAATTAGTTCCGGAACTGGAACTGGAACTTTGACATCACTGCTCCTCATCTACCTATCAAAAAATGAGGAAAAATCTGGACAATTCCGAGCCCTAATTAATATGTACTATTAAATAGTAATTTTATTAAATTTTTTATCTCAACAATATTTCACAATTATGTGTATAATTTAGGCAATATCTCTTAATAACAATCATATCTTCTTTATTCCCTTTAATATACAGTTGGAAACCATGTTGTTATTGGTATACTCGTTGATTCTCTTTTAGTTGATCCATATTCATTTGTACACTTAATCAAGGAGTCTAATCGAAACCCTTCAAAATATAGATCACCAACATTCTTCAAATCGTGATAACCCTTCAAACTGTAATGATAAAAAGTTGCAAAATATTCATTATTGACATAGATCTAGGAGAAATTGAATCTAAGTCAAAATTTAACAGGGAAAATTACAAATAATGAATTTTTTGACTCTGCAAAAAATTCCAAAATGAAAGGTTCTCCAACTTTAAACGGATTATCGTAGTAAATATGGTCAGCATCCCATCCACCGTCTACTGCCCAACTGCTAATATGAACCTCAAAATTTTATTTTAAAGTTTAAAAATATAAAAAAAGTAAAGCAGTCGGGCTATAGCTATTTCTCTCCTTTAACTAGTGCAAAAGGTTATTCGGCGGCTGGGAGCGACCAGCATCTTCAGTAGACCGGACTGATGTGTTAGCCATTACACCACGCCTCCTACTGCATAGCCTTAGGCCTACTCATAGCCTTTAAGGTTACTTAGGAATATTTAATTCAAGGGTACCTTAGGAATTAAATAGCTATATGCTTTAAAAAAAGAAATGTTGAAATAATACCACATTGGATATTAGGTCTGTATTAAAGTGGATTGGAACGTTTGCAGTTTCGAACATTAAACCATCCTCCTCGCCAAAATCTATTGTTATTTGTTTTGCCCCTTGAAGAGGCACTCCTTTAAATATTATACGTTTATTTGCTTCAAGTCCTTTTCCAAATCCGATTTGTGCAAGATTGATAGTTTTGATTTTTGATGGTAATGGCTTAATTTTTAAAATTATTATTATGAATATTTTAAAAATATTTTTCAATTCTCGACATTTAAACATTCTTTGTTGAATATTTAGGCTTTTTGTTGATTTAAAATTGTGAAAGAATATCCTGATGAATTGTGTAAGACATGTTAAATATTATTTAATTTATGAGTACTTATTTCCCTCCCCACCAAATTTTTCATAAATGTACAAAATGGTAAGATATTTCTTCCTTGCATAATTTCGCGAAACAATAAATAATTCTTACATAAAAATCATGACTTGCGGAAGGAAAATTGACTGATTGAATGAAGGAAAATTGAAAATGATGCTTCATGGAATTTTTGTGAAATTATGCAAGAAAGAAATGACTACATATTTTGTACATTAATGAAAAAATTGAGTGGGAGAGGGAAATTAAATAAGTACTTGATTTAAGTAAGATAGTATTAAGTAAAAATCCTCTGACCACGTTGTTTAGGACGATAGGATTGGGGCAAATTGGAGGAGGTGTTGCTGGTGCATCTGTTTTAATTGTTGGCTTCAAATCATTTGGATACAAAGTCAAAGAGAGAATTTGAACTGTGTCCTTCCCATTGATATATAGCTGAGTAATTTGACTCAAATCCGGACTATGGAAGTTTGTAAAAATTTTACCATTGACACTGATCTTTAAAAATAAATTCAGAATAAAATAAATAATTTCATACCTGTATTATATTGTTAGGCAATGCAACAAATTCCATAAGGAATGCTTCTCCAGCCTTAAATGGAAAACAACCAGAAATATTTTCATGACACCATCCTTTGTTTATTATCCATGCGTTACGAACAACCTCAAATAATTTTATAATATTATTAATTTACCCTCGAATATAAAAGTTTTATAATGGGAAGAAGGAAGCTCGATTAAGATTACGAGAAGGTAAAGTCAGCGCTCTGGGGCTGAATAGGTTGATTGAGTATATTAGGAGTTAGTTGAGAGGTAATTTGATTAATTATTTCCTCCCCTTAATAAACCCCCTGTATAGGCTGATTGAGACCCGAAGTTCCCTCCCCCCCCCTAATCAACCCCCTCAATAGGCTGATTGAGCCTTCTGAGTTTAACCTTTAGTCTTCGTCTTTTAAAATCTGGTACGGCACAACTCTGCTGCCCTTCCCTATGCTGCCCTGTCTAAATTCTACCGCTCTCTTGACTATCACTTTAAAATGAGTATGAAATTATTACCAGCTTTGATTTGAAGCACGCATTAAAGTGGAATTGAACGCTAGCATTTTTCAGCATCACACCATCCTCAAACAAATTAATTGTAAATTGGTCGGGCTCCTTAAGAATCGTCCCATTAAACACAATAATATCCTTCATGTAAAATCCTTTCCCAAATCCGGCTTTAACAAGATCTATAGTTGCTGGGAGGGCCAAATAATTAAAAACAATTGGATCGTTCTTTGTCAGAACGGCACATATATTCAACAAAATAAGAACTAAAACCTGAAATTTATTAAACTTGATATTAAATTAAAAATCAAGTATACCTTCGTTAGTGAAGCTGGCATTATATTTAAATTTTATTATTTTGTCAAGTGTACTGGTTGAAATAGACACTTTATATGATTGATATTCTTGATAAAAAATTGTTGATATTTTTATTCAGTTTTTTTAATTCATTGTTGATATTTTTACTCTGTTAACACTTTATTTTAACAAATACATAAAATAAAGTGTTGTCATTTTCCAACCATGTAAACGTTGCTATCGAAATTTTTTTGTTAAGCATAAAGTTAAATGTATAATCAAGAAATGGACAAATAAACATTTTTTGTTAATTTTATACCAGGAATATATCTCAGTGCAAAGAACATTTTTTTCCTAAACATATTTTGACAATCTTTTAACTTCCTCATTCATTTTTATTACTTTTAATTCTTAAAATAAATTTTATTTGTTGAAAAATATTTACGACAAATTGAGGCATTTTATAAACCATAATACATAAACCTCATCCCCCAAAATTCTCAAAATTTTCACCTGCGGCGCTAAAAAAAGGAAGACTAAGAAGTTAGAAAATTCAGATATTTGATAATCCCTCCTCCCATTTAAGAAATTTCCATCAATAGGGGTGCCATCATTAGGGCCTGAAACCCGACTCGAAGAAACCGATATTCTTGGCCAATATACCTATATGGAAATCTATCGGCGTATTAAGTGACTATTGCAAATTGGACGAGATATACATGGTATCAAAGGATTTGTGAGATATCGGAGATTAAGAGGATTTGGAGGAATTAAGACGGATTTGAAGGGAGGGCCTCTGATTTTCGTTTTCTTTTTTGTTCTAGGCTATTAAATATTTTAAAAATTTTATCATCTTAACAACAATATTTTCGATAATAATAATCTTTAAGCACATGTCTCTTAATACAGATAAAACTTTAGTCTCTTTTTATTCTTCAATTGCGTAGGTTGGTTCTTGTGTTGTAGTTGATAAATAATCATTTGGGCACAAAATCAAAGTGTCTAATCGAAACCCAGAAATATATAGATGAGTAACATTCTTCAAATCGTGATAACCCTTCAAACCGAAATAAGAGTAGGTTGCAAGAAATTTATTATTGACATAAATCTGTAAGGATTTGAATTAAAAATGATAAGACTAAGAAAGAAAATTACAGATATCGAATCTCTCTGTAAATATTGCCCAAATCTGAATTCCAAAATAAAAGGTTCTCCAACTCTAAATGGATTACCATAAATATGGTCAACATCCCATCCACTTTTTACTGTCCAACTGTTCGTAACTACCTCAAATTATTTTAGTTTAATTTAGTCAATGGAGGAATAATACCACGCCAGCTTGCAAACGTGGATTAAAGCAGAATGGCGCGTTTGCAGTTTTGAACATTTCGCCATCCTCAACAAAGTTAATTGTAAATAGATTGGCCCCTTGAAGAGGTACTCCTTTAAATATTATGTGTGTATTTGCTTTGAATCCTTTCCCAAATCCGATTTGTACAAGATTGATAGTTGATGGTACTGGCTTAAGTTTATAATTATTATTATAGATAAATATTTTTAAATAAATATTTCCTCAGTTTTGGTCGGATATTAACCAATTCTATGTTGAATATTCATGCTTTAATATAAGATTTTTAAAAATATCCTGATAAATGACATGCTACTTTTATTTTATTAAAGACAATTTTATCAAAAATTCTACTATAACCACAAAGGTTGGCGAGTTCGGGTATCAGGAATCTCCCCAAAAAATTTTTCTGAGACCTCTCCATCACCAGATAATCTTCACTAATTTGATAAAAATTTCGCTTCCCGGGACGGATACCAGGAGATTTCCAAGGCCCGCCAACCCTACTAACCACGTTCTTTAAGACGATAGGTTTGTGACAATGTGGAGGCGTTGTTGGTGTCTCTGTTGTTGCGATTGTTGGCTTCAAAGCATTGGGATACAAAATCAAAGAGTTAATTTTCAATGTGGCTTGCTCATCAGTAACATATATTTGGCTAATTTTGCTCAAATCAAGTCTGCGGAAGTATGTAAAAAATTTATTATTGACACTGATCTATAATTGAAAGCTGCTTTCTTTACTATAAATTAAATAATTAATCACATACGGATATTACATCTCTGGGTAATACAAGAAATTCCAGAATGAATGTTTCACCAGCTTTAAATGGGAACCCGCCAAAAACATCCTCAATACCCCATCCTCTGTTTTTTATCCAATTGTTACGATAAACCTTAAATTTTTTAATATACCGTATATGCTAAAATAATTACCCATCGTAATTATTTTTTAAATCTCTCGTTGGAGGGGGGAGTAGTAATGTATTATTTAATTAATAGTGGGAGGGTAATTATTCGAGAGAGGACAATTATTTCAACATATAAGTCAAGTAATATATCCAGTAGACATATAATAATACCAGATTGGATTGAAAGCATCCAGTAAAGTCAAGTTGAACGTTCACGTCATTCACTCCATCTTCACCCAAAACAATTGTAAAATAGTCGGGATTTTTAGAAATCGTTCCATTAAATACAATCCGATCTTGCATATAAAGTGCTTTTCCAAATCCGACACTTACAAGATCGATGATTGAGGGGATTGCCAAATTATTAAACACAATTGGATCATCAAGTGTAAATGACATAAAGACCCCACATATTTTTAACAAAAGAAGTGTTATCAACTAAAATTTGAATTTTTCCTTAATATTAAATTAAGTTTGAGTATGTGTTTACCTTCATTATTGAAGCTGACATTTAATTTTAATTTTATTATTTTGTTAAAGTAACTGGGTGAAATCGTCATTTATGTGGTTGATTTTATTGATAAAGATTGTTTACATTTTTAGGCAATGTTTTTTTAATTCAAAAAAAAACTTTTTAGCAACGTTTCCAACACACAATTCTAACAAATACAAAAATATTGATAAGGCTTGATTTGTCACTTTAAAATAATTTAAAACGTAGTACCCCAAACCCCTATGTTTTTCAATTCAATTTACCTATACTAAATAATACGTGTACATTCATTCAGATAGAATAATAAATTTAAAATGTATTTGAATCATTGGTATTGCTCGACAGGGAGATTAAGATGGGCAAATTTTTATGGATTATCTCTAACTGTCTAGTCCACTTTAAAACCTCAAAATCCATCGATATCCCCATTAATCTACGTATCACACTTTACCTCCTTTAAAGCCCTTGATTAAACTTGTAAAAAATAAAGGTAAAAATTAGTGTTGATCAAAAGTTGTAGGTCTTCAGGGTCAACAGGTTTTCAAAGTGTATGTCTAGAGGGTCTAGAGGGTGTATTCAAGTTCCTTAATGAAAATGATTCTTCATTTAATATATGTAATTATCACAATTAAGGGAATAAACTCAACATTTTGTGCTTTATTCTCCATCATTAAGTATACAATTTAAAAAATAGATAACATATAATTATTCAAATATTTAATCAGAAATTTCTCTTTATTTGCACAGAGTAATAGAGCTCACTTTGATATCCTGTGTAATCTCAATTTGACTAATCTTACTCAAGCTGTATCGAACAAAGTAGGTAAAGTATTTCTCGTCAACATATATCTGAAATAAATTTTTTTATTAAAAAAGAAATTGCAGTGCCGTATTTTTGAATAATAGATTAGTACATTTATTATATCTTTCGCTCCGGCTCTAAATTCCAATATGAATGGTTGGCCAACTTTGAAAGGGAACCCTCCGGAAGTCTCTGTAGGACCCCATCTTCCAATTCTTCCTTCCTTCATCCAAGCATTACGAGCAACCTCAAATAAGAAAAATTTAGACAAACAAGTTGAAACTGAGTTTAAAACTTTAAGCATTCACTTACTTTACTTATCTGAAAGCGTGGAGTCAAACTAAATGGAATGTTAGCAGTTCTCTGCGGCACACCGTCCTCAGCCAAGTTGATGGTAAAAATTCGTGCAGTAGGTGTCCCGTTAATTATAATACGCTTTGGTGGTGCAAAGCCTCTTCCATATCCCAAAGCTGTGAGGTTGATTCTTGCTGGTATTGGCTTAATTAATTAAATAAATCGAGAAAAATAATTCAGTAATTGATTATACTCATTTCCAACCCTTACTTTTATAAAATAACTTATGGCAATTTCATAAGAATATTATTTAATCGGATATAATAGTAAAGCAGCTGAGCTATAGCTATTTCTCTCCTTCAGCTAGTGCAAAAAGTTATTCGCCGGCTGGGAGCAGACCAGCATCTTCAGTAGACCGGAATGTTTTGTTATCCATTACACTACATCGCCTACTGCACAGCCTTAGTAATTAACTAGCTATATGCTTTACATATTTTAATAGATGCTGAATAGATCTTTATCCTCGCCTTAAATGCTAGGAAGATCGATCTTTTTTCACCTATCTTACCAAATTTCCAAAACCAATTGTGCCACATAATGCCTCGATTTTAACTACCATAAAACTCGCACATGTAATTAACAAAAGAAGTGTTATCAACTAAAATTTGAATATTTTTCTTGATTAAAATTAAATTCACCTTCATTATTGAAGTTTAAAAAATATATTTAAATTTTATTATAATGTAATATTTGCTTGAATCAATCATAATTTATATGCTGGATTTTATTTTTAAAATTGTTTACATTTCTTATTCATCGCCTTCATCAAAATTATTTTAGTTTTTTGTTAATTTACACCACGTAGGGTTATATGTATAGTGAGAAAATTTTATTTGGTTTAGATAGAATGCATATTTTTTGTATTTCCAACTCGATATTTTGCTTATTCTTATTTGTCTATAAGGAAGTAGTTTTTTTATCAGCAGGGAAATATTTTTTGATTCCTCAAAATTCTTCTATTAGAAAATCTCTTTCCAAATAATATTTTTTGAGCAAAAAACATTATAAAATCCATTTTCAATCAATCCTGTCCCCAAAAGTTATGTATATTCAAATATAACTTGTTGTGTATTGACATTTGAATTTTGATTGAAAATATTTATTTTGTAATTTTCCCTTTTCCCATCTTTATATTTAATCTCCTTTATTTATTTAAATATTATTTTCCCTCTTAGCTTATTTTTAAATACTTTCCATTTCCTTCTTTGTCTCCTCAACCCAAAACCGCTCCTTATCATTAAGAATTTAAACTTAAACATTCACTCATATATATTTGTTTTTCGCCCTTTTTCCCCCATATAAATACTCATCTAATTCTCCACAATTTTACCTTCTGTTGAACTTAACTTGAAAATATTTTATTTGTGTCTAAATAAACCTTAATAAAAAAGTGTTTAAAAAAATATAAATTGGAAACCCGAATATACAATATTCGGAGAATAAGTTAAAAAGGAAAACTAGAAATAAGTTAGACCCCGAACCTATCACAACTTTTATTCAAATTAATACAAATTAAGAAACAAAGAAGGACAGATCGTGCAGGGCCAAGCTGTAATAACTGTGTGAAACTAATTAATTACATCTTAAACGTAGGTTTATTATCAAAGTAATATGAATAAAATTTTATTAGAACGTTGAAAAAGCCTTCACCATAGTCAACTCTCATATAAAAGCTCATTTGTTCTAAAGTTAGAGAAGATTCACAAAGAAACGAATGTTATAAAGAATTTGAAAATGTTTTGCTGTTTACCGAAGAAGTTAAGTCGTTGGTAGAAAAAAGGTATGGAATTATAAAAAATTTTCAATAGATTAACTTTTAACTATTTATTTCAAAAAAATAATTACATAATTTTAAGGAAAGCAGTGAACAGTTGTGTTCAATTTTTGGTTGCCTATAAATACCTTCCACGTAGTACCGTTCTCAATTATTGACGCTATGATTTGAAAATTCCTGAAGAAAATTAAAAAATAGATTTAAAACATCTTTGCTCAACTATTTACATTTTAAATTTTTTTTAAAAATTAAAAAAACTAGAAAAACTCGACTTACATTTTTTAAATTTAAAATAGTATTGATTGATAAATTATAGTTTTTGAATTTTAATTTTCTCCTTGATTTTTGGGTCAGAACAATTATGAATATAAAAACCAAAATATGGGGAAACACTTGTTGATTTTGAATTTGATTTACGAAAAGAGCCATTAATCTCATTAGACACCAAAATAAGTTCCACAAGTACTTTATCAATAGTATCATTATTTAACGGTTTACTTTCAATATCCATCTCTTTATATTTCAATTTGAATAATTTTCTAACTTGAGGAAAATATTTATCTAAAAATAGTTCAGCAATAGTAATATCCTCAGGCCAAAATAATGCATTGTCAAATTCACCCGAAGAATATATTTCAATCTGTTCTTGTAAATAGATTAAAGTGTTGCTGTTAATTACTGTTTTATTCTCATATTTAAATTCCTCTTTCACAATTCCCATTAAATCTATTTTTTGTTCTTTTAAATTTAGACAATGACGGATTTCGTTTAATCCAATTTGCTTAATACCGACACCAAGAAGCGAAGGTAAAAACCATGAAACAAGACCAGCCTTAGATTTATGCGAATACAATTCCTCATATTGTATATCAGATATACAAACATTTGAAATTTCATTCAATAATTTTTGATAAATTTGTGTATAATTTATTGGTAAAATTTTTGTTTCTAAAATATTGATTGCTCTGGTTGTTGAAAAAACATTTGTTGAGGCGTCTGTTGTATTTTCTAAATTATAAAAAATCATTTTTGTGAAATTTAAAGCTATATCTTCATCATAAAAAAATTCTCGAGTCATCTGGAATAATTTAATTAAAAAATACCGTTAAGGCTCAAGTTAACTTTTTTATTTAAATTTATAATGGTGAGAATAAAAAGTAATATTTTAATAAACATATTATTATTTAAAAATCCCAGATAAAATATTTTAAAAGCAAAATTAAATGGGATGATAGAGTAAATAGATAAGTTTAGATAGAAAATAAACACATATTTACAATATAATTTAGGTCAATTAATTATTACCGCTAGAGAAGAGGAGGGTTGTTGTTCATCTTTCTTTTTCTCATTTCTATTATATAATTAATTATTATGAAGATTATAATTTAATTTTGCTAATCAAAAGAATTCTTATTTTCGCAACTTTTATGAAGTTATAAAATATACACGACTGAAAAATATAAAGATGATAATAATAATTTAAAATTTATTGTTGTATGAGGGAGTAGTTTCCTTTATATTCGCAAGGAAATATTTTTCGATTCTACAAAATTTTTCCGAAAGAACCCCGGTTTTCCGTTGATTTTCGGGTTTTAAGATCTTGGTGATGGGAGTACATTAGAACTTCATTTCTTTTGTATTTCTTATCTATATTAATAATATGTTCACAAAAATTTTTGTGGATTTTTCCCACTATTAGAAACCTATAAAACTAAGGTGGACATATACTTTTGGAACAGAGTGTATCTTTACAGCAAATTGACAAAAGAAGTGTTATAAACTTCATTATGGAAGCCAACAATAATGTATTAAAATTTTGTTATAAAGTAATAATTGCTTGAATTTATATACTAGAATTTATCAACAAAACTGTTATATGTCTAGTTTCACTCATATGTAGTTATCAAAAAATTACGAAAAGGAACATAACATTTTAGAATTTTTGTAAATTTACAACACTAAAATTTTCAGTTATAAATTGATTTATAGCGAGAAAAATTTGTTTGTTTTAAGAACACATATATTTATTTTTTATTTATATTCTTGTTTCTCTTAGTTGTTTAAACAATCATATCATCAACGACTATGTTTGTTATTTCAAGGGTGTGGTTGTTATTTCATCGGGTATGTCTGTTATTACAGTTCCGGGACATGCGTAAATAGCGTCGATCTGGATTGCCCGTTCAATTTCCATATGAGTAATTTTATTCAAATCATATCGTGCAAACTTGGTAAAAAATTTGTTGTTTACATAAACCTAAATAAAATTAAAATTCAACAAATTTAATTAATATTACCTCAATTGTATTTATTGGTGAAGTACTTATAATAAATTCCGCATCAAATTGTTCTCCAACTTTAAAAGGAAAGCCTCCAGAGCGCTCCTCTTGTTCCCAGCCTTTGTCTACAGTCCATGTGTTGCGTATAACCTAGAATATTTTTTGTGAAGGCAAGGGTTTTCTAAAGATGGCCTAGCTTCAATCCCCCCTTTATCAGTCTTAGATTTTACCTGTTTAATATCGAAACGTGGACTGAAGTGAAACAGCACATTACCATCTACTAACATTTTACCAGATGTTCCAAAATTTATGTTAAAACTTTCAGGTTGTGCTAGAGGTGTTCCACGAACTATAATGCGAACGCGTATTGGTGTTGCAGAAGGTACTCCAAATCCGAGCTTTTCAATATGGAGAACTGTTGGGGTTTCCTTAAATTTTTTAATGCTATTCTAATTGGAAAAATTCTAACCATATTATCTAACACAACTAGTCCGAGGCATAATGGAGGAGGTCTTGTATGAGCTTTGGTGTTGCATGCTGCCGTTTCGATTGTAGTTGTCATAAAACTCGCACGTATTATTAAGAAAACAAGTATTATCATATTGAAGTTAAAAATATATTCAAATTTTATTATATTAATATAATAATTGGTTGAATCCTCATCATTTTTATGCTGGATTTTTTCAATAAAATTGTTTATGTGTCTAATGTTCATTCATAGCCCCCACATGATTATTCAAAGGAAAATAACATTTTGTAATTTTTTTATAAATTTAAAACATTAATTTTTTAATTCTGCCATGTAACTGTTAAATGTTTGAGGAGAAATTGTTTCTCATTTTTTTTAAATTTTTTTAATAAAAATTTCATTTATACATATTTATTTCTCTTGTTTGTTAATTGTTTCACATTTATGAAGAAGCAGACTACCTATATTTAGTATTTACATTTGAATGGGAATTTTTTTAATTTTCAATTTCCCGTAAACAAATTTTGTTACAAAAATATTTTCATCTGACAAACGAAATTTTGATTGTGAAACGAGGAAGACAATTTCTTCAAGCTTCTTTCAGTATTTTTTATTTTAACTTAAAATTAATTATGATGCTTAAAGAAAGGGTTAAGCAAAAGTTTAGCCACCGGACAGGATTCGAATCTGCGACTTCCTGACAGTTATTGCTACCACTGAGCTACCGGGGACTAATGCTTTCTCTTTTATCCTTCTAGATCGTTTAAGCCCCGTCTATGCGTTTTAAATGCTCAAGGTGAATCATCCTAACGATAATTATTGTTTTAAACATTCAAGCTTTTTATTATAAGTAACAATAATTCTTCATTCAATAATAATATTTATCGAAATTATATAAACGAATCAAAATTAAACGTTATAAGATTATTATTATCTTCACATTTTTCTCTTTATTTACAAAGAATAACAGAGCTCACTTGGATTCCACCTTCAATCACCATTTGACTAACTCTATCCGTAATATATCGTTGAAAACTAGTAAAATATTTGTTGTTTACATTGATCTAAAAGATTGATATTCAACCAATTAGAATATTATTATTAAGGATTACATGTATTGTAACCCTCTGTCCAGCAACAAATTCCAAAACAAAAGGTTCTCCAACTTTAAATGGAAAGCCTCCATGTATCTCGCCTCGTCCCCAACCTATGACTACCCGCATTGTGTTGAGTATAACCTAGAATTAAAGTTAAGTATAGGAATAGGGTTGTATAACATACGATAGTATGTTCATGCTGTGGAAAAATTGTGGATGGGAGATAGAATAGAACCATCACGGGAAGGGCCCAAACCGAAAGCAAAACCGACTGTGCCACCATCCAACCCAACGCTGGGTTATTTATTTTCATTTATGTACTTTTTGCAAGTGCGGACACAAAAGGTTGGGATTTAAAGTCGGACCGAGGTTCGAGTCATTTTTATCGGGCCGGCCCGACGAGTCTTTTCCGGGCCAAAATTCGATGCCCGACTCGATCTTTCGGACCAGGTCGGATCTGGCCACCAACTCTACAGTAGGAATCAAAGAGTAAAGTCCAGCTGTTTAACTTCCCTTTAAGCATTATATTTTCACCTGTCTTTCACCAAAATCCGCACTGAAGTGGAACATCACATTAACAATTACAGGTTCGGCAATGTAAATATTAAAATAATTAGGTTGTGCTAAAGGTGTTCCAAAAATTATAATGCGCTTTGGTGGGTTAAAGCCTGTTCCAAATCCGAGCCTCACAAAATCGATTTTTGCCCATATTTTCTTAATACATTAAAGATGTTCAAGTTATTTCAATGAAAATACTCTAACCAAATTGCTTAAAACAATTTCTCCGCGACAGAATTGAGGAGGTTTTGTAGGAGTTGTGGTTGATAGAATTGAAATAGTTGGTTTCTTTGTTGTCGGTATATGTGCAGGACATAGAATAACAGAGCTCACTTGGATTCCATTTTCAATCTCCATTTGGCTAACTTTATCCAATTTAAATTTATATCGTGCAAAGCTGACAAAAAATTTGTTGTTTACTATGACCTAAGTTAACATTCAGCAAATTATTGTCAAAAAATATTTTAGTAAAGAAATAATTACGTTAATTAAATTATTAAATCCATCAGTTAATTCCAAAACAAATGGTTCTCCAACTTTAAAGGGAAAGCCTCCATAATCATCAGCTGTTTCCCAGCCTTTGCTTACAATCCATGTGTTGCGAATAACCTCGAAATAAATTTACATAATTTTGTAGTCTTCAAAATCTCTTTTACTTTATTTTCATGAAAACGTGGACTGAAGTGGAATAGCACATTAGCATTCACTAACAATTTACCAGGTTCACCAATATTTATGTTAAAAGCTGTAGGTTGTGCTAAAGGTGTTCCAAAGATTATAATGCGCTTTGGGAATCTAAGGCCAGTTTCAAATCCGAGCTTCACAAAATCGATGTTTGCCGGGATGGTCTTTAAAATTTGTTTAAAAATATTTAATATATATACTCTAAACCAAGTTATTTAGAACAATTTGGTCTGGACAGAATGGAGGAGGCTTTGTAGGAGTTGTGGTCGGTAGAAGGTTAGTAGTTGGTTTTAATGTCGTAGTGGTAGGTAGCTCAGTCGTGGTTGTTGGTTCGTCAGTGGCGATGGTTGTTTGCTTAGTTGTTGTAGTCGGTTCCTCCGTTATTGGTTCAGTTGTCAGAGTTGTTGGTTCTTCTGTTGTTGTGGTCGGTTCCTTAGTTGTGGTTGTTGGTTCAGTTGTAGTGGTTATCGGTTTATCATGACATAAAACCATAGAGAAGCTCTACCACATAGCTACCGGGGCATCGGCTAATTCTTTTTCCTTTTTAGATCGTTTAACCCCCGCCTAAGCGTTATAAATGATTCTAGGTGATTCATCCTTACATATATTCTATTAATTATCCAGGATAATTATTGTTTCAACCTCTCTCTAAAGGAATTAAAAAAGGCGGGGTAACATTTGAGGGATGATAATTAATAGAGTCTATAATTAATAGAGAGCTGGATCTCCATTTGTTACAAAAATTCCTTACCACATCTTCATAATTAATCTTATATTCGCATATTGCCGTTATCATAGTTACCATAAAGCTCGTACATATTATTAATAAAAGAAGTGTTATCAACTAAGATTTGAATATTTTCTTGATTAAAATTAAGTTTACCTTCATTATTGAAGTGAATAAAAATATATTTAAATTTTATTATAATGTAATATTTGCTTGAATCCTTCTATCATTTATATGTATGTTGGATTTTATCGAAAAATTGTTTATTAATGTCATCAAAATTATTCGATAAGTTTTGTATTTTTTATAAATTTACAACACTAAATATTTTTATATTTAGTTATGTTCGATGTATAACGAGAAAATTTTGGTTGGTTTAGAGGAACAGATATTTTTTGTATTTTCAATTTATAATGTTTGTTCATTTATGAGGAAGCAGTATTTTTATTTATTATTTGGAAGGAAATAATTTCTTAATTTTCAATGTTTAGTAAACATGTCTTGTTGTTAATATTTTATAAACTTCCTTATTAATATTCTTAAATATTTGTAGTATATTCTAAAATGAGCACGAACGAGCTCATGCAGCTATTTTGTCTTTTAATGCTAACTAGCATGCTCCGCGCACTGGTCTCCTTTCCTTCCCAGTCCCAAAAGCCAGATTTCTTCCATTTTAAGCCAGATTTCTTCCATTTTTTGCGCCGCAGGCGAAAATTTTGAGAATTTTGGTTGTACTTTCAACATTGTAAATTGGAAATACAAAAAATATCTGTTCCATTTAAATTAAACAAAATTTTATTTTTAAACATTAACAATTATATATCGATATAGCGTTTTGATTTAACATCGTTTTATAAATGGTTAATGTTTATGAATAATCGTGGCCACAAAAAATTACAAAACGTTATTAGCTGTTTGAAAGGTTTTGATGAGGAAAAGCTGAACAATAGACAATAAACAATTTTAGTCCAGCATATAAATGATTGATATATTCAAACAATTATTACAATATATTAAAATTTAAATATACATAATAACTTCAATAATGAAGTTGCTAATACTAATTTTCTTAATAATATGTGTGAGCTTTATGGTAACTACAATCGAGACGACAACATGCATCGACAATCCGATTATTTATGATAATTTGGTAAAGATAGGGAAAAGGGAATACAATTGGCTAAAATTTTAATTGCTTAGGCAAGGGTCTAAGATCTAGTGAAGAAAAAGAGCATCTCAATAGCTCCCTTAATAAAAAACGAAGAAACAACATCTAAAAACCCGAGAAACCCCTGCCCAATTACAAAACCTTAATTTCTCTTAATTTTTTAAACGATGTTTGATTAAATAATAATTTTTAAAAATTTTTGAGGATTTACCAGTAACGATAAATCTTGCACAACTAGCATTTGGAAGAGGATTTTTGCCAGACAAAAGTATTGAAATTAATGGTGTGGTTCTTGCAGACCCAGACGAATTTGTGGTTAATTTGTTCGAAGATGGTAAGATGTTCGATACTGCTGACGTGCCATTCCATTTCAAAGCGCTCTTCAGACGCACTCCACCTTATGTAATTTTATAATTAAAATTGGTTTTTATTGGAATTTATTTGAGGTTAATCGTACCAATTGGATAAAAAACAGAGGATGGGGACATCAGGAAAATGGTGATGGTTTTCGTTTTAGAGCTGGCCGAACTTTCATTTTGGAATTTGTTGCAGCACCAAAAAATACAATAATTGTAATTATTTCATTTTTACTAGTACTTTTGTTTCATTTTATTGTAGATCATGATCAATAATAAAACTTTTGCAAATTTCTCTCGTGTGGATTTGAGTAAAATTAGTCAATTATATGTTGATGGTAATGACACAATTCGAGTTAACTCTTTGACTTTGTGTCCTCAAGTTATAACGACTGCAACACTAACGCCAAGAACCACAACAGAAAAACCTTTTCCATCCTGTCTCAATCCTATTGATATAGATTATCCAGTAAGACAATTTACTTAATATCTTATTTTTGATTAACTATACTAGTTATCCCATAGATTTAAAGAATGGTATCCAGGAACTAAAGGAAGTTCGGGAAGTACAATGGGTCTAGTGGGTGTAGGTCCTGAAAACGAAGAAATGTTTTGGAACCATACCTTAACTTTGTAACACCAAGAGACATTCAAAATTATTTTAATTGGACTCATAACTCCAGTAGAGCCTCCCATATATCTGATTAAATAATATATTTAAGGAGCTTCCGTTAACAATAGATCTTGTAGAAGCAGGATTTGGAAAAGGATTTTTACCAAATAAGAGTATTGAAATCTATGGTGTAGTTCGTGAAAAGCCAAAAACTTTTAATATTTATTTGATGGAAGGCGCCTACCTAAATGCCGACATGCCATTCGCTTTCCAGTCAATCCTCGACGTAATCTCTCCATACGTAATTTAATAATTATAAATTGGTTTTTACATATATCCAAATATTTATTTTAGGTTCTCCTTAATAATTGGATAAATTCTACTAGAACGTGGGGAATCCATAGTCGCTATCCAATACCTTTAAGAACTGGCCAACCATTCAGTTTGAAATTTTTTGCAGCGCCAAAAAATTCAATGAAAGTAATTATTTAGAAAAATTTTACCTTCATTGTTAATTTTAAATTTATTTTTCGTAGATTTATATCAATAATGAATATTTTGCACCTGTCTCTCGTGGAGATTTCAGTAAAATTAGTCAATTATATATTGAAGGTGGAGACTCAATTAAACTCAACTTTATGACTTTGTGTACTAAAATCCCACCACCCCCACCTCTCCCATTCTGTAAAGGACTGATTGAATTAAATAATTTGGTTAGAGTATGATGAATTAAAATAACTACAAATCTTTAAAAATTTAAGACAATACCATCACTAATCGACCTTGAAGAAATAGGATTTAGAAGAGGATTTATATATCGAAAGCTTATTATAATTCATGTGACATCTACGGCACCAACAAATTTTGATATTAGCTTGGTTGAGGATGGTGTGCCTGAAGAAACTGCTGATATTCCATTTCGCTTCAGTGTAGACTTTGCTACAAAGGATGTAAGTGAATAGTAGAGTTGGACAAAACGATACTGGTATCGGCCAACCCGATACCGAGACCGATACCATCATTTTGAGCCGAGACCGATACCGAGAAACGATACTGACCGAGACTAACAGAAAATTTTATTTTACGTCAAAAAATACTATTAAATTATCTTTATCTCTCTATATCTTTCTTAATAATAATATAAACCCATTGCGTATATTGGAGCATTTACGGATTATTTTTAAATATTTATATAGCTAGTTGAAGCAATTTTTGTATGCCTAAATTCATTATATTAAGGTTATTACTGACACTTGGATATACGGTAAAGGATGGATAAATAAACAACGTATAGAAAGCCTTCCATTCACAGTTGGCCAAGAATTCGAATTAAAATTTATAGCAGAATCAAAGAGACATGGACTACATGTAATTAAATTAAAACAGACATGGTCATGGATACGGATATGGATACAGATAATACCAAAATGCCTGCGGATATCCGGTTGTATCCGTCTGTATACACCGTAAATATTCAGATACGGATACCAAAATCCGTATCCATGTCCTAGTCTGAATTAAAGTAGTTTTTGTAATCAATCTTTGAAAAAAAATATTAATACAGAACTATTTTAAAGTTTTTAAGGTACTTTTTAGTTATCTCCCACTATTTTCCTTTTGTAAGGAAGAGAAAGAGAGAAAAGATCCAGCTGGCTAGCATTTAAAACGCACACGAGGCGGGGGTTTAAGATCTAATAAAAGAGAAGGTGAAAGCAGCGTCCCGGTAGCTCAGTTGGTAGAACACCTGTACGTAGTGAGCGAAAGCGCCTAGCAATAACTGCCAGGAGGTCGCAGGATCGAAGAAGCCTGCTCGGGATTAAACTTTTACCTCGCCCTTGCTCTTTTTACAAATTTGATCGGCTATAACTTTTTTAAGCTTGGTCTAATACTTATGAATCTCATATCATTCAAAAGCCCTCGATAAACGCTATCCTTTACCCAACTGGATGTATCAATTCGGATCACTCTGAAAAAGTTACAAGTTGATATGTGTGAAAAACGATTTCTTGGACTTATCGACTCGTAACTTTTTCATGAGTGATCAGACTTGAACCTGCCATTTGGGTAAGATAGCGCTTATCGAGGGCTTTTAAATGATATAAGTTTCATTTGGATTGGATCAAGCATAAAATAAGTAATAGCCGATCAAGTTCATTAAAAAAGAAATTGGTGGGAGATAACCGAAAAGTACCGTTTTTAATGATACAATTTTTATTTCAGGTACATGTCAACGAAAGACATTTTGTATCATTTTACCGAAGCAACTTGAGAGAAATAACTCAATTGGAGATTAAAGGGGCAATTAAAGTAAGATCTGTTAATCTGTGCCCAGATTAAATATTGTACTTATTTTTGTGATATTAACAATACTATTTATACATATTTTGTATGTTTAATGCCAAAGAATAAAGCAATGTAATAAAAATTAATGATGGAAATTTGTCCCCAATACAAAAATCCAATTTATGGCAATATTGTCATTTACAGACCCTAATTTCCTCCCAAGTTCTTTCCTATACAGGAACAGAAGGCTCTCGACATTTGCGTAATTTCGATTTGTTTTCGATGCTAATCTCGGACTTTTTGATATTTTAGATCTGTAGCTTTAAAAACGGCTAATTTGAAAAT